TATTTTATAGTTTCTAATAATTTGGCACTAACTGTATTTCAATACCCAATTATCTTCATAGGAAAATTAATTTTTAAATAGATTTTTAATGGAATTTTATTTAATTTGACCCCCTCATCCCCTTCCTAAGTGATTTTGGTAATTTTTTTAGGTTGTATTTTATAGTTTCTAATAATTTGGCACTAACTGTATTTCAATACCCAATTGTCTTCATAGGCAAATTAATTTTTAAATAGATTTTTAATGGAATTTTATTTAATTTGACCCCCTCATCCCCTTCCTAAGTGATTTTGGTAATTTTTTTTAGGTTGTATTTTATAGTTTCTAATAATTTGGCACTAACTTTATTTCAATACCCAATTGTCTTCATAGGCAAATTAATTTTTTAATGAAATTTTATTTAATTTGACCCCCTCATCCCCTTTCTAAGTGATTTTGGTAATTTTTTTAGGTTGTATTTTATAGTTTCTAATAATTTGGCACTAACTGTATTTCAATACCCAATTGTCTTCATAGGAAAATTAATTTTTAAATAGATTTTTAATGGTATTTTATTTAATTTGACCCCCTCATCCCCTTCCTAAGTAATTTTGTTAATTTTTATAGGTTGTATATTATAGTTTCTAACAATTTGCACTAACTTTATTTCAATACCCAATTGTCTTCATAGACAAATTAATTTTTAAATAGATTTTTAATGGAATTTTATTTAATTTGACCCCCTCATCCCCTTCCTAAGTGATTTTGGTAATTTTTTTAGGTTGTATTTTATAATTTCTAATAATTTGGCACCAACTTTATTTCAATACCCAATTGTCTTCATAGGCAAATTAATTTTTAAATATATTTTTAATGGCATTTTATTTAATTTGACCCCCTCATCCCCTTCCTAAGTGATTTTTATAATTTTTTTAGGTTGTGTTTTATAGTTTTTAACAATTTGACACTATTTTTATTTTAATATTCTGTTATCTTTATAGAAAAATTGATTTTTTAATGAATTTTTTTATTGGATTTTTATTTCAGTTTACCCCTTAATCCTTTCTCTAAACACTTTTTATTTGTTTCTTAAAAATTTAGTAGTAATTTTATTTCAATACACCGTTAACTTCACAGAAAAATACATTTCGACGCCACTGGTAACTCGGGTGTTTCCGGTAAACGGGCTGCTGGAAAGTGGCTGCTAACTTCACACCGGTTGCAAAATATTGGAAATGCAAAATGGTGGAGAGATATAATCATAGCTTGTTTTGCATTAAAATTAAACCTGGAGGCTATTTAAGGGGTTTACGACTTAAAAAATAGAAATACAATATAGAGGATCCATTATGGTAGCAGCCAAAATTCAAAAATTGTTAATCAAGACTTGAAATTAAAAATGATTGATATATCGTATTAATTAATCACTTATTCAATATTTTTCTCTTCAATATCTATATTAACATTGACTAAATTCGAAATAAAATACTACATATTTAAATTTAAAGTTGCTCTCGTCTTCGTCTTCAGTTTCGTTAATGCCATTTAAAATTTCTTAAATTAATGTTAAAGTGATATTAGTAACTAACAGATCTGTAACCTCTGCTGGAAAAAGTATACGATTTCTTGTGTTAATTTTTTTTGTAAGCTAATGGTTGAAATTATAACACAGGAATTTGCTAAGGCCGATATCTGTTAAAATATTAACTCTATTTGTTTGTCATGCATTACACAATTATTATAATCTGTGCCTTATGAGAAAGTCGCTGTCCCAGTTCAAACGTGTAACATCTCCAAATCAGACATTTTGAGACAGATAGATGACTTTAAAGATTTTGCTTTATTAATTTGTAAGATTTTAAGCTATTGCATAGCTTTTATTAAGCTATTGCATAGCTTTTATCGCGGTCTTTGAGCGTGGCGACCGAATTAAGAACTTTCGTAATTCAGTAACGAAAATAAACACCCCCCACTCCGACTGGCACAGCGGTGCGGCGTTTTGAAAGCCGTGGAAGGTTTTATCCGACCCTATTCGTATTAGTATGAAGCAGAGTTAAATATACGTCTGCGAAATGGAACGTTTATGCAATACAAGAACTAGAAGAGCTTTCTCTGGCTTCTAATAAATTGGTATCACAAATGTTCCCGGCTGGCGTAAATATTAGATTGTAATTTTTTTGCAAGATTTATAATAGTATATTATGGAACGATCATGTAATGATGATTAACCGGGATACGAAACGAGCCAAAGGCGAGTTTCGTATGGTTTATGCGAGTGTTTTAATAACCATTACATGAGAGTTGCATACGCTTTTTTTTCAACACCCGATAAGTAATCACGACCTATAAATATTATATTTATATTGGTATTGAACCCTCGAAAAATCGAAAAATAAAAAAATCGAAAAATCGAAAAATCGAAAAATCTAAAAATCGAAAAATCGAAAAATCGAAAAATCTAAAAATCTAAAAATCTAAAAATCGAAAAATCGAAAAATCGAAAAATCGAAAAATCGAAAAATCGAAAAATCGAAAAATCGAAAAATCGAAAAATCGAAAAATCGAAAAATCGAAAAATCGAAAAATCGAAAAATCGAAAAATCGAAAAATCGAAAAATCGAAAAATCGAAAAATCGAAAAATAAAAAAATCGAAAAAGAAATTCCGTAACGAAAATAAACCTAACACACCCCACTCCGACCGCCACAGCGGTGTGGCGTTGAAAGCCGTGCATCGTCCAACGTCGTTTCAGTTCGGCAGACTTCGGCACCGTGTTTGTGTGCGTGCGATTAGGCGTATGCGTGTAGACTAGCTGCTAACTGCTCATAACTGATTCTATCTCTTTTAGACACAATTTCGAAAAAATTGAATTTGAAAATGAATAATGATCCACAAGAATCCACAACAAAATATGGGACCACCATTGACGCGGTATTTTCCAGATATTTAGAGGATATCAAGTCTCAAACTTATGTTTCTTATTTCAGTTACCATAAACCTATAGTTCCAATGATAAAAATTCCTGAATAACCTACATGTAAGATAATAAAAATATTTTAAGCAATATTAACTTCTCATTTATTCAATAAATGAAAAGAAAATGTTTTCTAATCGGTCACCACGCTCAAAAAATGTAACTTAAAATAATATCAAAGACAAAACTTGAAATAATATAAAAAAAATACTGCATAAATAAACTAAATAAATAATTATAATTGCATAAGTTGATAAAAAATGCTATGCAATAACTTTACCGCGGCAGTCCCCGAGTTCCACCGTATTTTTTTATTTACTAATTTGTAGTTTATTATTAAAATAAATAGAAAAATAAATATTTTGAGATATTATAGTGTTGAATAATTGCTAAGAATACATTCTTATCTTAAACCCTAAAATTTTTGAGATGTTACAATTTTCAACTGGGACATAGAAGTGTTTTATGTACAGCCGATGACATTTTGTACCATACATATTTCTCATTTAAAATCTTCGCTGTGTCAAGACAAAACTTTTGAAACTTAATAGGATCAACTGAAAATTTTAATATAATAAAGCAGTTTTTATATTTTGAGATTTTAGACGCCATATTAGATCTGAATTTTAAACTCTTAAACTAGATTCGTAATCGGTGACTCAAAAAAACTTGAGATACCAAATTTCATGGAAGTTGAAAAAATTTTTCATTAACGGTCCGCCATATTGGATAGACCATTTTGAATCTTGTATTTTTGACGTAGGAGTCGTAATCAGCAACTTCAAAAACCCTCTGGTAATAAGTTTTTTAAAATTATATTCACTAGAATGAAACGTGCAAAAAGGGTTAGGAATAGTAGTTTGAGCAACAAGAGTGGATATGATGGCCTTATTGTAGTTAGCAGGCAATCAGAATTTCTGTAAATAATTATAATTTTATTTTAAAATATAAAAAAAAACATTATATGAAAAATGTTGTGTCGAGGTACGTCTTGTCTTGTCTTTTTCGAAATCCGTAATCAATCAATCTTTTTGTTTTCTTTTTCCATGGTTACCATCCATCGGATAAATAGGGTGCTAATGTACGCAGCTATCGACCAAGATCATAATATATGTGATATTATAATGGTACCATCTGACATTGATACTTGACCAACCTCAAATAAAAACTGACAGAAACCTTAAAATAAATTGACATAAGTCAAAAATAAGGGTAAGACTATGTGGTGCTATGATGTCGCCACACTTATCACACGAAGACGAAGTTTGAGCGCGACGCCGTAGGCTGAGTGCTCACTCGTTCGAGTTTAATATGGACAATCCACTCAAAATGTACAGTATATTTTTTTACGACTCACGAACGAAAATCTACAATTTTAAAAAATTAATTTAGACTATTAAGACAAAAAAACTAATTTTAAAAAATTAATTTATACTATTAAGACAAAATAACTAATTTTAAAATAATTTATGAATTTTAATAATTTATAAAATAAAATAAATATACAAACAATTAGTCCCTAGCCCAGATTCAAACCCAGGCTATTCGCATGGAAGACAAATGCTCTGTCTTCAGCTCCACCGCCACTTTTTATGATTTTAGTTTTAATACTCGTAATTAAACTAGTTTCATATAGTTTGATTAAAATTTATTTTATTTTTTCAAAATGTGGACCAAATAAAAATAAAAATACTATCTACACAAAAATAACTCATTTTAATGTATATTTAATCTCAATAACTAAAAAATATACTAACAATTAATTTGACAGAATTTTAAATTTTAAAAATAATAGTAGTTGGGTGTCCAAAATACGAAATGTAATTGGTGAATTAAATTTTTTTGCAGTGTTTTCACTACCTAGAATGGATATAAAATATATTCGTTCAGTTGAACGCAATAGCATACTTTTTCATTATGTAATCTGTGCGTAGATATGCTAACTAACATCCATGTGTGTAGTGAAAAAATAATAAATATGTACACCAGGATATGCCGAAGCTTTCATAGCTTTTTTTAGATTTAAAGTTTAGAATTAAAAGACTTACATCAGTAGATAACCAAATATTGTTATAAAAATGGTTGGATCCAGTAAACGGTATCAATGACACGTATCGACAACACTGTTCAATGCTCACATCAAACTCTTCGGTGTTTATCTGTGGTGGTTCTAATGGTTTTATAAAACGTGTAACACAAGTGGTTTTTCCGTTAGTATCCAATACTAATGCATTAAATTTTCGGTGAGGGTAACTAGCGTTGAAAATTCCGTTCCATTTTAAAATGTGTTCTTGGATGTATGGCAGGTCACCACAAGGAAGTTCTACCTAAAATTATTTTTGTATAATTTTATTATAATTTCTAAAGTTTATACATAAATAAATAGCTTTATTTTACAATTTAAAAATAGGAATTACAAACTAAACAGAAAGTAAGTCAAACGTAAGTCACAAAAAATAATACATCAAAATAAAATATTTTCTGTGAAACTGCTATACTCGTAAATATTTAAAATTTACCATATTAGGGTTAAGTTTTGGCACCAAAGGTTCTATAAAGATTTCCATTTCTAAATAGGTATGAATAACTTTTTCTGTCGAAGTTTTTGGAGGCTTATGTAACTTATCGCCCTGTGTTTCATAATCCAGGAGCACATACGGTATTTTAATTTGAAAATATCCACTCATCTAAAAATTATGTCATTTTACTATAGCCCAATCGGATTAGGTGAAGAACAGGCTTGAGATTCTGAAAAATTGGAAGCAGCAATTTTCCTTCGAAATTCGTTGGAGGGGGTCTGTGGTAGTCTAAATTCAAAAAGTTGGGATTCCAAAGTTGTCGTTACCTCCGCCAGCTTGATTTAAAGGGTTATTTTTTGTATCTTGAATAACTCATTTATTTTCAATTTTACACGGAAAATAGTTTTTACAAAAGTTATTTAAAATTAAATTTCCTACAATTCTGCTTTTTTTTGTACGATCGATTTTTTTCGATTTATACCCGAAAAGAGGGGGTGAATTTTTGGTTATAGAATAACTCGTTTATTTTCAATTTTACGAGAAAAACTGTTACAAACAAAGTTGTTTAAAATTAAATTTCCTACAATTCTGCTTTTTTGTTGTACGATCGATTTTTTTTTGATTTATACCCGAAGAGAGGGGGTGAGTTTTTGGTTATAGAATAACTCGTTTATTTTCAATTTTACGAGAAAAATTGTTATAAACAAAGTTGTTTAAAATTAAATTTCCTACAATTCTGTTTTTTTTTGTACGATCGATTTTTTTGTATTTATCCCTGAGAAGAGTGGGGGTGAACCTAAGTATTGTATTGTCACGTTTATTATTGATGTTGTACCATTATTTTTTCTGTTTGTTTTTTTTTGCTGATTTTCAAAAATGTTATTTGGTACAATTATGATTCCGATTTTTTCTAAGAGTTTACCCCCACTCTTCTCAGGGATAAATACAAAAAAATCGAGCGTACAAAAAAAAAACAGAATTGTAGGAAATTTAATTTTAAACAACTTTGTTTATAACAATTTTTCTCGTAAAATTGAAAATAAACGAGTTATTCTATAACCAAAAATTCACCCCTTCTTTTCGGGTATAAATCGAAAAAAATCGATCGTACAAAAAAAAGCAGAATTGTAGGAAATTTAATTTTAAATAACTTTTGTAAAAACTATTTTCCGTGTAAAATTGAAAATAAATGAGTTATTCAAGATACAAAAAATAACCCTTTAAATCAAGATGGCGGAGGTAACGACAACTTTGGAATCCCAACTTTTTGAATTTAGACTACCAGAGACCCCCTCTAACGAATTCCGAAGGAAAATTGCTGCTTCGAATTTTTCAGAATCTAAAATACTAATCCGATTGGGCTACTAGGAAACATATATAAGTAACACTATCATTCGAATTTATATACCGGGTGTTCATTTTTTTTGCCCAACAAATATCTTAGTAAAGGAGGAACATGATGAATAACAGTTATTATAGTAAGATTACAAAATTGTACATAGTTCTAAAAAAACCTATAGAGGACATAAGAAATGTTAAATGAAATAAAAACAATAATGACGGCGGACTGTCAGAAATATTCAGATAATTTTAGCTTTTATCGAGTAAAAAATACGTTTGTATCAAAAAAGTGAAAATAAATAAAAAGTGAAAATAATTTTTTTTTATTTGTTGTGCAAGTGTATATTCAAAAAATAATTATTAATTTAACACTTTCATGTTGTTTACAGAAGTGTGGAAAAAAATAAAAAATGCAATATTTAAGCTTAAGCTAGCAGGACCAACTGGGCAAAATCGATTAAAATCTATTACATTATTTAGTACCTATTTTGTACTAATTTGTCCCACCAATAAAAATTTTGTACCATGTGCCGTTTAAAAAAAAAAAAACGTGGTGCTGCTAGGTTAATATTAAGCTAGCAGGACCACATTAAAAAAATAAAATAAAAAATAAAACAAAGGTAGAATTAAAACGAACTGATTTTGTACCAATTTGTACCACCAATCAATTTTTTTTACTATGTACGGTTTATAAAAAAACACATGGTGCTTCTTGTTTAATATTAAGCTAGTAGGACCACATTAAAAAAATAAAATAAAACAAAAGTAGAATTATAGGAATGGCAGGGGTACAAAATCTGAAATTTCCTATTTTAGTGGTACAAATTATGTTACTTTCATTGCAAAAGTAACTATTGATTCTGCTCGTGCAAAAGGGTACTTTACTCTTGAGCCCAATATGAATTTAGGTTAGTTTCTATAGGAACAGAAGGGGTACAAAATCTAAAATTTTATATTTTAGTGGTACAAATTATGTTACTTTCATTGCAAAAGTAACTATTGATTCTGCTCGTGCAAAAGGGTACTTTACTCTTGTGCCTAATACTAATTTAGGTTAGTTTCTATAGAAACGGCAGGAGTACACAATCTGAAATTTCATATTTTAGTGGTACAAATTATGTTACTTTCATTGCAGGAGTAACTACTGATTCTGCTTGTGCAAAAGGGTACTTTACTCTGGAGTCTAATATGAATTTAGGTTAGTTTCTATAGGAACGGCAGGGGTACAAAATCTGAAATTTCATATTTTGGTGGTACAAATTATGTTACTTTCATTGCAGTAGTAACTATTGATTCTGCTCGTGCAAAAGGGTACTTTACTCTTGAGCCTAATATGAATTTATGTTAGTTTCTATAGGAACGGCAGGGGTACAAAATCTGAAATTTCATATTTTAGTGGTACAAATTATGTTACTTTCATTGCAAAAGTACCTTTTAATTCTGCTCGTGCAAAAGGGTACTTTACTCCTGTGCCTAATATGAAGTTAGGTTAGTTTCTATAGGAACGGCAGGGGTACAAAATCTGAAATTTCATATTTTAGTGGTACAAATTATATTACTTTCATTGCAAAAGTAACTATTGATTCTGCTTGTGCAAAAGGGTACTTTACTTTTGAGCCTAATATGAATTTAGGTTATTTTCTATAGGAACGGCAGGGGTACAAAATCTGAAATTTCATATTTTAGTGGTACAAATTATATTACTTTCATTGCAAAAGTAACTATTGATTCTGCTTGTGCAAAAGGGTACTTTACTCTTGAGACTAATATGAATTTAGGTTAGTTTCTATAGGAACGGCAGGGGTACACAATCTGAAATTTCATATTTTAGTGGTACAAATTATGTTACTTTCATTGCAGGAGTAACTACTGATTCTGCTCATGCAAAGGGTACTTTACTCTTGAGCCTAATATGAATTTAGGTTATTTTCTATAGGAACGGCAGGGGTACAAAATCTAAAATTTCATATTTTAGTGATACAAATTATATTACTTTCATTGCAAAAGTAACTATTGATTCTGCTCATGCAAAAGGGTACTTTACTCTTGAGCCCAATATGAATTTAGGATAGTTTCTATAGGAACGGCAGGGGTACAAAATCTGAAATTTCATATTTTAGTGGTACAAATTATGTTACTTTCATTGCAAAAGTAACTATTGATTCTGCTTGTGCAAAAGGGTACTTTACTCTGGAGCCTAATATGAATTTAGGTTAGTTTCTATAGGAACGGCAAGGGTACAAAATCTAACAATTTACATTTTAACGTACTTTTATTGCAGAAGTAACGATTGATTTTGCTGTTTAAAAGGAATATGAATTTAGGATAATTTCTAAGGAACGGCAGGGGGTGCATATTCTGAAAATTTATATTTTAACGGTACAAATTATGTTGTGTTTTATGCACAAATTGCAATAGATTCTTTTTCTGGAAAAAGTCTCCTTATTTTTAATTATAACAGATTTGGATTAATTTGAAAGTTGTTTCAGGCAGTTTTATTAAATAAATTAGGTTTTTTTAATGGTACATATTGGTAAAAAAACAGTCCTTTTTAATTGTAACTTTGTATTTTTCAATGTGGTCCTGCTACAAACGCTGAGTTGGCTGATTTTAAAGAGATCCCCACATACAGTCTGATAAATTAGAAAAATTATGTATGACCGCAATGCTATTGTTAGCTTTATTATACATGGAATAGCCTTCTTTGTATCACTGTTTCGTTCGTTAGATAATGTACAACAATATCGTGTCAGGTCTCTGGAGGACGACACCTCCTATATTGTAATCGTATCTTATGCAGTCACTCTTTCGCGTATATGACATTACGTTGCATTTTGCAGGATTTAACATGAGCTTATTATTTATACACCAGTTTTGAATTTTGTTTATATCGGTTTGCATTACGATACAGTCATTGTTGTTATTAATCATTGAAATAAGCTTCAAGTCATCAGCGTAGAGTAAATATTGTACATTAATATTCTTACAAATATCATTAATAAAGATTATAAAGCATAAAGGCCCTAAAATGGAACCTTGGGGTACACCAGAAACTTGAGATATCAAGCGAGACTTAACGCCACTAATAAGGACATACTGAGAACGGTTACTTAAGTAGGAGCTAAGGAGAGATAGTACATTATCAGATAAATTCAACATATTTAACTTTGATAACAAAATGGGATGACTAAGACGATCGAATGCTTTCGTAAAGTCAGTGTAGATCACATCTACCTGTCCACCGCGATCCAATATTTCGCTGATAAATTGAGTTTTAATGGCTAGATTGGTAACAGTAGACCTCCCACGAACAAATCCATGTTGTTCAGGTAAAATTGAATTTTCAATATGCCTATAGAGAAATTTGGTAACTGTAATTTCGAATACTTGACTAAAATTGCAGATAATAGCAATTGGTCTATAATTTGTAATATCATTTCTGTTGCCCTTTTTGTACACTGGAACAGTTTTTGAAATTTTCCATTTCTCGGGAAAAACAGACGAGTTTATTATTAGATTAAAAATTATACTAAGGGGCTTAGCAAAAACGAACAATCCATCACGTACAAGAAAAGCAGGAACATTGTCTGGACCCATAGTCATGTTTGTCTTGATACGCTTAATTGACTCAATTACGTCGTCCTCAGAGATCTTGGGCATTATAAATGCATGGTTAGGTGAAATAACTTCAACGGAGGACTGGTTTACATTTATAGGGTTGTCTAAGAATGAGTCACTAAAGTATTCGGCAAAAGCAGATGCAATAGCGGCACTGGTTTCTAAGTCGTTGCCATTATAGCACATGTTGGTTGGTAGTGAATTGTGTT